ACTTCCTGGACAAATCATCAGGTTTGGGTTATTTTACAGAATAGTTGAGACCAATGGATTATAACGATTTTGGTATCGGTGGATTCCTCTCTCTCTGTACTAACCAAATATGTAGAAGTTATTGCATGGAAACCCCCAACCCCCTCACATTCTTGGCCATAACAGGAAGGGATGGCATAAAAAGTACCAGAGAAAATTCTGTGGCAAAATATAGATGATAGACAGAGTTAGTTACCTTATTGTCTAATACAGCCTCTATGACCTCCCCATGGGGGCTGCCAACCCCAACTTCTGCCCAGGAAAACAAAGAATCTACCAGGTATTCACAGCAGGAAAGAGCAACAGATAGACTCACCATCAGATGTTCCCGCATATCAGTCGTATGCTCTCTCCTGGCGTAAATACATGGAGGATTCTTTGTGTTCCATTGCAGGAGTTATGAGGCGGCAACCCCCAAGGGGGGATTGCAGGGAGAACAGCCCTCTTCATTAGACAATATGGTGACTGATTCTGTGTATATTATTCATATTTTACATTGCAATTTCCTGGTACCTTTCATGCCCACCCCTGCTATGAGGGCCAAGAATGTGGGGGTTTGGGGGGTTTCCATGCGATAATTTATATATATTTGGATTGTAGAGGGTGAGAGGAATCCATTGATACTAAAATTGTCATGATCTGCTTGGCAGGACTATTCTGTAAAATTATGTAGATTTATTCTCATGCTAAGAGGACAAGTCTGATAACCATTTCTGTTGCAATCACAACCAACATTCTTGATGTGTTAAGTCCTGATAGCAGGGAAGGACATGAAGTATATCAGGGAACTTATAGGGTACAACAGGCTGAAATAACAGTAAAGAACAAAAAGGCTTAAAATTAACAGATGAAAATCAATGTACATGCTAGCCATCTTTGAAAGTCTATAGACTTTTGCATCAGCTTTCAAAAACTCTATTGGAATCCAACCCATCCCTTGGAAAAAATCTATGTGCATTCACACCATCCAAAACCCAAGTGGTAATTGCGTAATACTTCTTAACCAATGAACCACTTCACAAACTTTATTAAGCAGTCTAAATTGCTGTGACTAGGCGTACCCTATGGGCTCTGCCCGAGATGAGGGTTGATGAGGGGCTCTACCCCCCAACACCCCACAGGAAACATTGTCTTCACCTCAATATGCATGTCAAGATTAGAATAAAAAGGCATGTAGATTTAAGAGAGCACATAAAATAAGTCTAGATGTATGCAAAAACAAGAGGGAAGATAATTAGAAACATTAGAAAATAGATGAAAAATGCAACTAATTGGAAGGGTTTCCATGTTTATTGTAATTTGTCCACAGAAAGGGTAACATTTATAAAAAAACAGACAGAGAATCTGCAATGTTGAGAACTCTGGCTTTGTGAGGGTGTTGTGCTTTATGAGGTGAGTGTCCATTTTCCTCTATCTCTGTGCACTGCCCTCAGTAACATTAACTGTAAGGGGCACTTCCAGATAAACATTTGTTGCTGTTTGCTCAGCATTGTATTGTGCAAATAATGGGAATTTTTGGATTGAGTCCATCTAAACTTGATTTGATGGTTGCAATATATGGTCCTATTCTGCCAAATATGCCAAATGCTCTTTATTGGGGAGACTGACAAATTTGCAATTAACAGATTGCCTTCTATGCATATTTTCCATGGAAACTAACTGTAGCAATAAAATTGGTATCCAGTAGAATATAATGGTGACCAGTTAACCTGTTGGCATTCTGATGAAAGGCCAACAACTCTCATCCCCATATATTCTGTAAATGGGCAGTTTGTAGGTCTTCTTTATAATTTATTGTCAAGTAAGGAGTGAGTCCATACTTTTTCATTCCAGAATATATATGGTGAAAATTGTTGGAGCATTGTAGGTGCACATGTCATGGGAGTTGATTAACCTTTTGCTGTTATCAATTGACATTCTTTTGGTACTCGTGTTGGGAGATTTACACAAGTGGAGCTACCTAAAAATTGGATATTGTTTGTTTATATTTTTTATGTGTACTCTGCAAAAATCCCTGATATATTTTGTGATCCTCCATCAAGACCAATACTGTCACTGTAATTGGTTTCTGCAGTCTAAAACTGTATCTGGACACTATATATTAACTAAAGAAATACTCCCCTCTAAGAGAAATATATGTAGATATGTAAACTGATATCCACCAATTAAAGATGTCAACTTCATCAAATATTTACCCCATACCTTTGGGAATCACTTTAGCCATTATGAGATATTTTGGCTTTGTGCTGGGTACAGCTTTATAATCCAGGTTCGCTTTTTATGTTTACAGAGAATGCAGTCTATCACAGTACGCTGCTTGTCAGTACTCCACAGAGCAGTACCTAGATGCAGCATTACAAGTCTTTTATCTCCATTTGAGAGGCCTCTTCATATGATGCCTATAATTTCAAGAGAAGTTATAGGAAAACCTATACTACAGGTATATGGGGCTGTATAGAATATTTATTCTCTTGGTTCCTTTTCTGAATTTAAAATTTTTTTCCTGATTATTTTTATTTTCTAATAACATGAAAGTATCAAATGTCAAAAAACATGGTCAAAGTTGTGTAGCTTTTAAAAATGCAACATCTTTGGAAGAAATGATTTTTTTTCTTTTAGTATGATTTTTTTTGCATATTTTTTTTTGTATTTTCTATAGTTTCACTTTCTGCTCTTTACTCTTTTATTCTTACAGGGTGGAGATATCAAAGTGAATAAGTAGTTCTTGAGTTGGGACAAAAAGTGTAAATGGTCTAAATATTTTTGGTTGAGAAGTAGGGTATCTGGCAATCACAGACTAGATCACGATTTTTATATGTAAGGGCAGTAGTTTAATTTTATTTTGAAAAACAGTGAGAACAGAGCCATTGTCTTACATTTTTTGGGGAGAAGTTGTTTTCATAGTTATTTTACTTTCTGGACAAACCCAAGTCTGTCTTTGACCAGTACACCCCCCAATCCCTTGCCTGTTGTTGTCATGGGGGGGGGCTTAGGAGATGAGGACTAGGACCCAATGCTGGGGATCTTCCCTACCTTGGGCCACAGCCCTCAACTCAACTAATTTTGCCTGGTCTTTTCTCCCTACTGCTCTTTCATTTCCGTTCCTTCTCCAACCCCTTCAACTATCCTCTTCCTAAGGTGTAAGAGCCATATTGAAAGGATGAAATCCTGAGTTGGTGCCAGTCCGGAATGGCCTGAGGGAGCCATGGGCACGGTATGCCCCTGTTTTAGTTGTTTACCCCTTACCCCAGAAGGGGACCCTGAGAGGTGGACTGTTTCTTTCCTCAACATAGTCAAGGCTTCCCATGGCCAGTAATGAAGACGTAATACCCTTATTAGGGGCAATGAGGCTTGCCCCTTATCAAATACCCTACCAATTCAAACTTTCTGTTCCCCGACCGCAGGATCTCCTTTAACCACAACTCTGAACACAGCAACTACTACCCACCCCTCAATACCTATTAGTACATTATCCACCCAAGTCGAGACTTAATCTCCAGGGGACATTCCTATTCTCCCAACTTCCTCAGCTTCATCACCTCAACCCCCACTGCCTTCTTCAATCACCCCATCCTGCCTTATTGATACTTTACAGCCTTATTCTCTCCTTCTCCATAATACTACCCCCCTCAGCAATACTCCCTCTTCCACACATCCCCGTCCTTCAACCACCCCCAGCTCTACAAATATCTAAACTACTCTATTTAGCCCAGCCAAATGGGACCGATTTTTTGTGATCCCCCCTATAGCTCCTTACCCAGCCAACACTCTTCTCTTTCAGCAATGTCTCAAAAACCTTTCCATTGCCCACCTGATCGTTCCCGTCTCATTACAGTGACATCTGAAACTGAAGCTATAGCATTATCAAATCTAACTGATTTCTCTGGCAACCCCATTCCTGCACAACCTCATCCTACCCTTAATACTTGTACCGGAATTGTCTCTGTCTCCCCAGCAAACTGCCCTATCGATACCAAAGATAGGTCAGATTGTGGAGAATACTTACTCAGCTGCCTCAAAGACTGTAATGTGATATCAGTACAGTGTTACTCCATTCCTTCTAGAGGTCATAGTAAGAGCCCCACCAACATTGTCAAAATTACTAGATATGACCTTCCTTTTAACCCACTAATGTCGGGTGTCCCACATATGAGACACCCGAAAAAATAAATACTGCCGGGCGTCCCGCAGCAGGAGGCTGTGGCTGGCGGGCAGGCAGAGTCTGGGGCAGCCCCACCTGCCGATTTTGTAGCCACTCAGAATCTTTTATTTTCAGCTTCAAAATATACTGGTATTAATGGGTTAATATTTATAATGGTGGAAATCCCTCCCTGGTCGACCTTACCAACCTCCTCCCCGTCAATTTCAAAACTGGTGGCGTTTAGGACATCCTACCAAACACTGCCGTTTCACAGCCTGATGCCTCCTGTGTCCAACCTGGTCATAACCGATCAAACTGCTCTGCATAATCATGCACATGTGCTAACTGCAGCGGCCCCCATAATGCCCCACCTACAAGTTTGAATCTGAGATGGCAACTCTGAGATGCAAACTAGGTGTCACTCTGGATGAAGGCAGACAGGAAGCACGTTGACTAGGTTTTTTTCATACTTCCTACTCCAGTAATGGCCTTCCCAAGATATTCTTACACTCTCATCAATACCTACTTACTTCCCTACTTTCACTTCCCCCTCCTACACTCAGTCAAATA